CCATAGAGCTCGTAAGGTGGTCGAGAAACAGTCGCGTAGTAGCCATAGAGCTCGTAAGGTGGCCGTGAAACAGTCGTGTAGTCAACCATGTGCTCGTGAAACTGTCGTGTAATAGCCATACAACCTAAAGGTGGTCGCGAAACTGTCGTGCAGTAGTTATAAAGCCGGTAAGGTGATCGTGAAACAGTCGTGTCGTAGTTATAAAGCTCTTAAAGTGATCGTGAAGCAGCCGTAAGTTTCTCGTCAGGTGGTGCGTAAGCTGTCGTACAGTAGTCGTGAAGTATTCGCAATATGCTCATAACCTTAGTAAGGAACTTACCAACAGGATTCGTGTCGAAGAAATAAATGGGAGCCCTGAGAACGCTGTTAAACATGTTGTTGTGAAGATTTTTTGAGGCCAAGACAAAAAGGCGAAACAACAAGACAAATGATAGCAGATTGGTTACCATGCCAACGACTACGAGTACACCATAGACGATGATGTACGTGTCTCTGTCATAGAAGGGCAAGTAGAATGTCGAGTTACTTTTCTTTGGTACAACTGTTGACACGTAGTGTTCGCTGTCCGCCCTGGAGTGACAAATACATGGGTTTAATATTTTTCAACTCCAGACCACGTGTCATTCCCTAGAGTAACATTCCTTTGTTTAACGGTTGTGCATCAGACACATGAATTTGGATACAACTAAGACAAAGAATATTATTCTCCAATGACGGAAGACGTTGGACAAGAGGATGGAAGGACAGAAAGACAGACGGACAGACAGACAACTTTAGAACTCACCATTCAGCTAACCACCATTCTCCAACCAGAATAGATCCCTGGCAAGAAAAACAGTCAATGAAAATCTCTCAATAACATTAAAAAAAACCTGTTGCTCAGGTTTGACCTCAATTTTGTATAGAATATTCACGTGTTCTAATGAAGGTCCATAGAATTTCAAAGTCTTTGTATTGTTGGAGTTGTGCATTCTTTACTTTACCGTTGGTATTTGTGAATATTTAGACACTGATATGAGGCTAACCCTGAGTAAATGAGTCTGGTAATCAAGGAATACAGGGGTATTTTACGAAGTCGAAAACTTCTATTCGGGTTGTACAAACTAGCCAATGGCCAATGAGGACTCCATGTAACGTATATTGTACTTCAAGCAATAGAGCAGGTACATGTTACGTCATTGCCGCCATCTTGGTTGATGATAACAAAGCATTCCTCATTAGCTTCTCTTGTTAGATCAACCAACATGGCGGCTGTTTCATTGTTATTCATATCTCAAGGGATTTTGAGTCACATGGTTGCACACACTCTTTTACCTTTTGCCCCAAATCCAGTCAGGCGCCATTTTGAATTTTTAAGTACCCAGGCTCTCTCTCAACAGCTAGGGTTTAATTTGGTCGAGAGGGATCTAGATAATCGAGAGTTGAGCTTCGTATCCTACCTGTGATGCTAGTACTAGGATTGCTAGTACGATCATACCAAACAGGCTACTCCCAGCTTTTAAGTAATTCAGATACACGTTCCAGGTTACTGTCCCAGTCGTCTGTTTTTCAGCTTCTTGTTTCGACACGTAGATCTCTTCGGGGCTCTAGACAGTAGTTCAATAATTAGCCATTCTAAGATAAAAACCTGGGTCCAGTTGGCATTGCAGTGCATTGTGGGGTTGTTTGAGGGGAGATATTTCCAAGATGGCGGCTATTTTGTCCCCTAAACAGTCCCGAAATGCACTGCAATGAAATTCGAGCTTGTCTTTTCCTCAACCCCGTAATGGCCAATGCCATTTTTACACTAAAAACGGTTAGAAAATTAAACATTCATACCAGATTTTTCGGAGTTTATTTTTTTCACATCGAGTGAATTCACTAGATGCTTCCCTTTAGTGCTAAAGAAGATGTATTCAGCGGAGATGTGCTAGCTAGTCCAAAATCATTTCTCTTTGATCCTGTTATGAATGGGGGTATCATTGCTTCTTGTATTTGTTTTGCATTATTTTAGCAGCGAAAGCCGAATTCGACGATTGGAACAGTCTCGGTACTGTACACAATAATCTTTTTATCAAGTATTTTGAAATTTAGAAAGACAGAAAAAATAATTTCCATAGCTGTGATAAGCATATTACAACCAGTAGAAATGCGAGGTTTAAACGAAATATGCTAAAAACTCGCGAAGGCATAATTTTAGATTTCACTCAGCTGATAAAAGTTTTTGGATCTCATTATCTGCTCCAAATGGTGGTCAAACACTGACCACCATGTGCTGTTAACCAGAAAGAATTTTGTGATTCAGCTAATAAACATTCCCCACTAGACAAGAAATTATGTCTAGTGAAACCCACAGGCAGCCCAAACAAGGCTCCTGTGTATGGTTTATAAGGGAATGTATGGGAGTTATGATTAAGGTCATGAAAATAAAATGTTTCACTCAACAATTTGCCTCAAAACTTGCTCCAGTTGTTGCTTTTACTTTGTTCAGTCTTCTGGCGAAGTTTCAGCGCGATTTGAGGCCGTTTAGTGGTTTTTTTCAAAATCCGCTCTTCTCTACCTAAATAATGGGAAGGCTGGAGACTTAGCACCCGATATCGACTACATCACGCTAGAAAATCCAAAAAAAATCTCTCTCTCCCCTTGAACCGCAATAAAATGCAACATGGAACAAGGAACGATAATTTCTCTATCATAACATGTATTCTGAATGCCACCACGCCAAATATTTCCAGAAAAATCCTGGCTTAAAGTCGAATATTTGATTTCTTCTACAGCGTGTGATCGATGGTGTTTAAACGGCCGTTGTAAAGCGTGAGCGGGTCATGTTACATACTGCATTCTGATTGGCCGATCACAGGAACTTTGTTTGGGTTGCCTGTGGTGAAACCCAGTAATAGTGAGAACTTCGTAAGAAAACTTTTACCGGAGGCAAGAGATGCCTGGATCAAATGTTTTCATACAAAATTTCGATTTTTGAACTTACTTCCTTCAAACTTAACAGTTTTACTAACTTTAACAAGCTCTTAACAGCTATGGTGATTATTCCGGCTTCTGTCTTGAGAATTTTGGAAATACATGATATAAGCTTGTTTTTTTGTGCAGTTGCTCTCGCGACAAATCAGTTTAAAGGAACATTATCTGGTGCAACACCACTTTATAGTTACAGTGCAAATTAATGTACAAATAATTTTTATGAAATTTCTTAATAACTTACATCATTAAGCGTCTCCATGGACATGGATGAAGGCAAGTCACAGTGACTTTTTCTCGTCCTTGTTTCGGTTATCGCCTCCGATACAGCCGACGTAGATCTCTTGTAAATGTGATTGGGTTCCAACAGAGGAGTCTTTCCATTGGCTATGACCACATGATGGTCTGATTCATTTTGATGAAGGTCGACAGCTTCCTGCTCTACCATAACATCCTGGTCAGAGAGGGTCGACATCAATGACATGACATCTAAACCACCTTCGTTGAGCTCTTCAAACGTTCCTTTTCCAACACAATGGCCCTGATTTGGAAGGAAATATTTACAATTTCTTGGCATTGAATCAATGATATTTCAGAAATATTTTAATCTATTAAGAGAATATAAATAATAATTTATGGATGTAAAAGTTTCCCGCTTTTTTTTGAGTGGACTGAAGCGCGTACCCTTTACAGGAAGTCGTCTTTTTCCCGCTCAATTCGGTGGAATGACGCGAGTTCTCTTTACCAGAAGTCAATATTTCCCGCTCTTTTTGGACGGACGTGCAAACACTCTACCGGAAGTCAACATTTCTCGCTCTTCTTGGTGGATGGACACACTTACCATTCATTGAATATTCCACGCTCAATTTATAGGAACGCGCTTACCAGTTATCGAAATTCCGCTCGTTATTTTGGGTCGACGCATTTTCATTTACAAAACAATACAAAAAATCCCGGTTTTCGACTGACTTGTTCGAAAGTCAGCACTTCCTAATTCGTTTAAATTTTCATGACATTTCTCTTTTCTTTCAGGCTTCATGGCTGCCATTAGTCTCCTATACTCAGCTGCTATTAGTGTCGTAACGCAACGCTCACTCCTAGGGAAGTGGGTGTTGCGTGACGACACTAATTGTGGCTGCATAGAAGACTAGGCAGCCATCTCTCATGGGGTAAAATTGCAGAAATCTTCTCGTTTTGGAAATAAAATATTAGCAATGCGAAAGGATTGTGATTGAGGCTGCTCTTGTTCTAAAACTACGCTGCTGCAGAACCCTTCAGATGTCAATAATTTACGAGGAAAATGTTGAGCGTCTATGGTACGGTACTTACGTCTTTCAAACAGATGATGTTGGTCGCTCCCTTGAGATACTGAAGCTGGTGTGTGACAAGGATGCAGATACGATCCTTTAGAAGACCACGTATGCACCTAAACGATAGAATATTTTAGCATTATAACAAATCAAACTACGAACAGAAAAAAAACAACAAACAAACAAAAAAACAAAATAAAACAAAAACAAACAAAAAACAAAACAAAAACAAAAAAAACAAGGAAAAAAAACAAAAATCAAAAACAAAAAAACGAAAAACAAACGAAAACAAAAACAAACAAAAACAACAAAAAAAAACAACAAGCAAACAAAACAAAAAAACAAACAAAAAAACAAACAAAAAACAAAAATAAAACAAAACAAAAAACAAAACAAAACAAAAAACAGACAAACAAACAAAAAACGAGCGCGCGTAAGCGTAAGGTGCTTTCCTGGACGAACATACATAAATTAGCAACGCTCAAGAACGAATACATGTACAAAGAGCGAACGAATACACGAACGAAAGAACAATCAAACGAATGCACAAAGAGAGTGAACTCAGTAAGATATTGATTTATCAGCCTAAGGTGTGAAACGCGGTGCAACATTGCCCGCAATATTGCAGGTTACCTTGCTGAAGAACTCTCCTTTTCTACTTCAACAACATTGCGTGTAACAAATTGCGTCGTGTGACATGCCCCGCAACATTGCAACGTCGATTGCCGTCGACATCGTGCGCGGTGTTCCATCGTGTGTCCGTAGAGCACGCAGTAGTTTTCGTATGATTGTGAAAAGCTCAGTGCCGTAAGTGTGCCATGCCGTGACCGTGCCGTGATGTTTTTTTCTGATTTTTTCTCTCGCGCAATATGATTGGTCTTTAAGTGCCGTGATGTTGGCGTGACCGTGTCCGCGCCGTGTTTATGCTGTGTTCTGGTTATTTGATTGGATGGAGAATGAATTCTCGTGCAACGTGATAAGTCTGACTTACCTTGCCGTGTCAAGAACGTGTTCGTGCAGTGAGCTTTTCACAGTCATATGAAAACTGCTCTACCATGGTGATTGAGTGACGTCATGTTCACCGAATCAAGTACTTACTCATCGAATAGTTTTCGCCCAACATTCGTGTCTACAGCACTAAGGGGATCATCAAGAAGAACAATTTCGGCATCGTAGTACACAGCCCTGGGACACAAAACAATATCATAGCCATTGAACTTAAGTATCATTGATAATAATATGAATAGAAACGACTTCCAAACATAGCATCAATATAACGCAAGCTGTGATTGGCTGGATATCTATTAACATTGGTATGTCTTCTTTCAGAATATAAACACTGTCTTTCGGAACAAAAAAAAAACAAACAAAAAACAAAAAACAAAAAACAAAAAAAAAACAAAAC